CGCAACCGTATTCAGCAAGACGAATAAGTTCCTTCGGCCTATCATTGTATTCGCGCTGTTGTTCTTCTGGTGTCTTTAATTTCTGTGGTCTAAGCATAGCAGTCTTGGAACGAACTGAATGGGTCACTAAACGGGTCTCCATTTCATAATGAAAGCGGGAAACACACGCGGGGAAACGGAGGACCGTGTGACGTCATTCGATCGAAGCGCTCGCGAGGAGTGCAACTGCGGCCTAACCTTTACCGGTAACGCGCGGGAATTAAGACGGTTACCGTTGTTCACGGGCGCCTTATCATCCAGCATGCGGTTTCCATGCTTGTTGAGTGGTTTTCTTTGTCGAAAAAAAAAATACTGAGCTTTATACTGGGTGTACGCATCATGTTTGCAAAGAAAGATATACTGTCTGCCTTCAATTGTTAAAGGGCCTCTTATCCACCCGGAGGTCTAAATTTAGTTGTGGCTTTGCAGTTCTACCCGAACCTACGGCGGACGCGTTCGGCGGCTCGTCTGTCCACCTCTTCGGATGCCTATCCTGGGAGTTCGAGGCGCACGCAACAAGCGCGCGCATCTGCTAGCAGAGAAGCACTTGAGCACGAGCATATGTTGGCAGTTTAGGGGACTGGCGTTATGCATTTAGTTCACAGAGACTGAACCGTTTCTAGGTAGAAGTGTTCGCTATAAAAGCACGAATAGACGCAAAGCGGCCGATCCGCCCGAAAATCTTCGTATGCGGGTTCGTGCGCATGGGAGTCGGCAGGGGTGCAAAGGGTAACTAGCCACGCCAGCGCTTCCCCCTCTCTTTGGTATACGCCAGCGCTGCCCTCTCCCCCAGCAGCAATGCAAGTACGGGTTTTGAAGACCCCCTCCTCCCTTTCAATACAAAATCTAGCCGACGTCCAAGGGCAAGCCCGTCTAGAAGGGGAGGGGGGGCTGCAGCAAAGGGTCTTAGGGCTTCCCCTCCCCCACAATATTAATGAAGGGGGTGCTTTACCGAAAATAAATGATGAAAATAGGTGTTCAAAAAATGCCCCCCCCCCCCCCCCAAAAAAAAAGGGCCTTCCATGGGGCCGTGGCATATGACCCTTACAAAGCCGCATGGAGACATCGCACACAAAATTGACCATTCCGCGTGGAGCATAGGTCACTCTGTCCCTTATGCATTCGCCTAAGGAGAAAGCAGTCTTATTCTCAGGCAATTGTATTGGTATCCTACCCCCCCACCCCCCCAGAAAGTTTGCACTGCCTCTGCGATCCGAGGCATCGCGGTCTTGCTACACCACACACGGTTCTGCAGCGCTTCGGGGATCGGCAGACATTTGACCACTGCGATGATGGTATGTGATGATGTCAGCCTCTAGTGTTCTTATGTATGTTTGTTACGTCAAAGGGCTGTCTTTCGCATTAAAAATGTGATGCCGTCCCAATCTTTCTTACTTTATGTGACGTAATAACGGAGTCATAAGGTGACGTCATCAAACAATAATCTTTTGCGTTGTTAACGTTGGCAACGACCTTACATTTTCTCTCCTAATGAGGCATTAGCAGCAAAAACAATCCACCCCAATATGTACTCATGAAAACGCCCCGAATCGGCACATGCGCTAAACGTGAATAGCAAAGAGCCTGGCTACACCAAAAGTCGGCGGGACACGTCACCTGTCAGCATCGACTTCCGGTTCGAGACACCGTGCCGCTGTATACAGGTACTGCTGCCAATGCCCTCGCTTTTTTACATGTTCCGACTCGCTCGCTGGATTCCGTGCCGATCTCCGACGACAGCGCAGCTCTGGCCGACTGGGTTGGTCCTGCGCCAACTCCTGCCGCCGACAAGAGCTCTCGCCAGTGGTGTCCCGCCCTCGGACTCCTGTGACCGTGTTTTATCTTTCATATCTTCGCATTACCAGAAGCATTGCGCCACCAGTGAAAGCGTATTAGTGTAGTGTACAAGTGTTAACTGGAGTGTTTGGAAGTTTGCTATTTGTTTGCCTGTGTACCACTGCACTTCATGCAAAATTTCTCTTCTTTTTGTTGATGGTTTCTTTGTCTTTGCAGATGTAAACAATTTGTATATTTTTCGCTCTTATACTTTGTGATGACTGTCATTTCACTACATTCCTGTTTCTGTTTTCTGCGCTGTTAATGTACCACCTGCATGTACAATCTGCACGCCCACCTGCAATGGTCTCGGAATGAGACTGGTAGTATTGAAAATAAATAAATAAATAAAATATCTCTCTTCTGTCGTCGCTCGCTGTCCCTGCGCTTCTCTCTTTCTATATATATACCTTTTAATCCTATCCTTTTAATTCCTCCTCACCCCCATCCCTTGTGAGCTACTGTTGAGGTGTCGCACCAGATGCAAACAGTTACGGGGCTCACTTTTTCTGTTATTTTCCCTTTTTATAACCGCAATCTTTACATGTTCCACTGAGTCACAGCGGTCTTCCTCCGATTACCGCGTAACATATCGGAGGGTTTAGTTAAGTAACAAATACAATCAGACAATCAGACTTAGTTATAGAAGGTACGAACGGTCACAGCTTCGTTCACGAGGCGTCGAACACGTGCATGCACGTTGCTTCGCAACGGAGATCGTTTTCGCGCATGCATTTTGCTATATGCAACGATTTGCTGCACGACCGTCACGAAATACTCCTCAAATGTAAATCTTTCACACCTGTTTTCATGTTCAGAACTTGTAGAATTATTTATCTATTTTTGTGCTGCCAGAGACACATTCTAGGATGCGATGTTGTGAATGATAATGACGTGAAGTGTTTGCGAACAAATCTCGAAGTTATACGGTTTTCCTTTTATAAAACTCGCTTTACGTTCCGTCGTGCACTGCGACTTTGTGCTTAGAGGCATGTCAAAGCACTCAAAATTAACCCTCCTTTCAAGTTCACCTTAAAAATACAGGCGCATTACGTGCGCGGGTCTTCGAAATACCGTGAGACCATGTTATTAACCGTTTCAAAACCAACATCGATCGTTTTACGTCCAAGCTGATACAATCAACTGAGCAGCTGTTTTATCCCGCTATATTGCCTCTATACTCAGAATTTTCCATGCATGCGACGCATTTCGGGCAGTGCAGTAGATTAAATGCAAATACACAAACCTTGATATAAGAAACCCGGATATAACGAATTATCGGTTATAACGAAATAAATGAAGAATCGTCCTATGATAGGTACAGTGCTACAAATATATGTTTATAACGACTTTTCAGGTATAACGGAGTATTTTTTTGTGGCAGGTGTAGTAATAAGGTTTGAGTGCTTATGAATCGGTGCAGTCTATCGGACAAGCCCACGACCGATTTGGTCCCGTGTGTTTCTCATATGTCTGAATGATTCCAAGGAAGCCACTGTTTGTGCTCCGAAATACGAAGCCAAGCTTATCCGCGGCCAAATATCACTGTGCGTTTTAAAGCGTATATAACGCATACGTACAATAGCCGCTGTGCTCGAGAACTACCCCGTACAATTTACCCATGTTTAGTTCGCAACACCAACTCATTTTCCATTGATTCGCTAAAGAGCAATTCAAGTACACGGCCACTGGGTAACGAGCACGTCGTGTGTCCTTCCCGGTTGTAGCAGGGGCAGCGAATGGCTCGAACCGTATAGCGGCCTTGTTCGTGTGACATCCGGCAAGCCTTGCCACTGTTTTCAGTGATACCGCAACGGCTAGGTAAGAAGATTACGAGAACATTTCGCGGCCTATTCTACTTGAAGATTTACCGCGTCACTAACGCCAGTGGTCCACGTCGAGTTTGAAAATACTGCACATTGTCTACTTACGAATTTAGCACTGTTGATTTCGCGACTTCTAAAGAAAACTGCGGGCGTTGCGGCTAGCCGAGACTCGAAGTATTTCGTAAGCCCTTTATTCGGAATAACAGCAGCACAGTGGCAAGTGATCGGTATATAGGTCAGAATACAAAATGGGTGCGAGCCTCCGAGAAGATCCTGTAAAGCAGTTATAGAACAACTTCCATTCGAAAATGTCTTCTTGCGCTCCGAGCTGCTGACAGTTTCAACAATAAATCGTGCAGAAATAGCATATCAAGCGTAAGCTGGAGATTCATAGCCGATTATTGCTCGCGTTTACAGTGAATCAGACGCAATTAGGAACTCCGACACCCGTGGCATTCATATGTCTAGTATATGTATACTTGAGAATTAAAAAAACCCTCTGCTATAGGAAACTTTGTGTTAGTCACTTTTGCTCGCAATTGACCACTATAGTGCAAGGTTTCACTGCGTCGACAGCCCCTCGAAGAACGGCGGGGATGACCACGAACGGCAGTTCGTAATGCGCGCCGCACCAGGTCGGCAGCGGAGCTAACGTGCTCCCGGGCCGCGCCTCCCAAGCATTCGATCAAACACAGCCTTCACGCGCCGCTGATTCAGACCGCCTGCTTTCGACGCCGAAAAAAAAAAACCACGATTGCACCGAAACGCAGTTGTGCACAGCCCACGGGGCCGCGCCGGTCCGCGATAGTTCCTGGGACAACAAAGCGGTGCAGTATCGACAGCGCCCGACCTGGAGCGACGGCAGCATGGGAGCAATCCGCCGCTAGTTGACGTTCAGGGCGCACTTTACGAGGCGCACCCGCTCGCTAACGCCTGCAGTTAATGAGCATTTAATTAGTGCAAGATGCGCAGTGTCTGGCAGCAGCATGTATCGGGAGAAAGCGCCGCCGAAAGCTGCGCCAGCGATCATCGCTCAGCAGAGGTTGCACGGGCGGCCGTCAACACCACGCGTCAAACGAAAACCGCACAGCAGTATCTTTGCTGACGCGAGACTGCATACAGCGTTCGGATCGAATGCACCTGCAGCAATTTTGCAGCGTACTACATCCGGGAAGATTTATTAACGCAACCGTTATGCAATCATGGCAGTGGTTGGCAAAGTGCTTGCAGTTGCGGGCGGTTTACTACCACGTACGAACGACGGACGGGTGTCACGCAAGAGCGTAAGCGCCACCTTACCCCGTTTTTGATGGCCTTCGAGGTGGAAATCCGCCGGTGGAATGACTTGGTCGGCTGGGCGTCACCGTCGCTTTCGGAGGAGTCGTCCGTGGCCGGGTCCGAGCAGCACTTTTCGCCACCGCGTCTCTTGTCGTTTTCAGAGTCCGCGACATCGACGCCCGACGCCATGTTCTCCCGCGACAAACTCCTCTTTGGCTGCCGTCGTCGTCTGCTCGGCCGACGCTCGCGCCCACTCGCTCACCCTGATCCTGGTGGCGCTGCTCTCGCGAACTCGACCGCGAGCGCGCAGGCATCAGAAACTTCGCTGCGCAGCAGACGACGCGCAGTCAGCGCAGTGTTTTTTTGCGTACTTGTGGGAGACCCTGCACAATTACGCTCTGCCCTGCTAATGAACACGAGAGAAAGAAAGTTAGTGTCTAGTTAAACTCAATTTAGGGACAGACAGCAAGAAGTTGTGAGACCCAGATTGACGGATGGATGTAAAAAAAAAAGGATGACTGAACGAAGTCAAAGAGCTCGTATGCTTTGCTAATGCACATAAAGGAAGAAATAAAGATAATAAAAAGAAATGATGAGCAATGTAATATAATAAATGGGGTTTCGCGTTCTAAAGTCAAGTAGAGTCAAACTTCGGGCTAGTTGGTTTTGCATAATGAAGCACATACAGCGCGAAATCAAGACGGTGATACAAGAGAAAAGTATGTCTGTGTCTGTGAGCGCTTCTCTATGTCTCTTCTTTTGTATCCCCATCTTGAGTTCGCACTGTATGTGCTTCACTATAATACCAAGATATGATTATGAGGGACATCTTAGTGCAAGCCTTCGGAAATTTTTCCCATTTGAGGTTCTTTAACGTGCACTTACATATCTAGATACATGTGCCTCTAACATTTCGCCCCGATTGAATTGCAGCCGCCGCGGCTATGATTCGATCTTGCGACCTTCGGGTGAACAGTGGAGCACCAATACCGTTATACTACCGGGGCAGGTAAAAAAGGGCATATTGGTTACAGCTACGTGAAGCCAAGCTTGTCAAACAAGCTTGTCATTTAATCAATGTGGGCATGGACTTCTTTTTTTTTTTTTTCGCGCTCCTTCGCATTTTCTGTGCACATCTGCCAACCAACCCAAATAAGCACTCTAATGTAGACGTGCTTCTCTCTCTCTCTCTCTCTCTCTCTCCTCTCTCTCTCTCTCTCTCTCTCTCTCTCTCTCTATATATATATATATATATATATATATATATATATATATATATATATATATATATATATATATATATATATATATATATTTGTGCTGTCAGTGTAAATAGCTGTCATGCACACGACTAAAGAATCAAGGAACATTCCCAAGATAACTGTTCACCTATGCACGTCCGCGGGTGGCATCTGTAAATGTTTGGCATTGAGTGCACTAGCATCTGTTGTCGACCAAATAAAGTCGGTTTACTCACTCATACAGTGTCATACCATATAGAGTGACATGCACAAGGAAAAATGAATGGCAACATCAGCATACACAATAATTAACCAGACTTTATTATAGCACACATCAATTTACTATTGTGAACTAATAAAAAACCTGAACATGCATCGAATCAGCATATACTTCATAAATAAATTTTAGCGCAAAACGCACAAATAATTGTGCCTATAAACAGCAATAAATTATCTCATGAACTTGTAAGAGCGGCTTCCGAATATTAAACAATGTATACGTCAGAAAGTGACCACTCAAGATGAAGATTCGGGCTGCAGCAGCAATGTAAAATGAAGTTCAGTCAGTTCTGCATGAATGCACTTCAGGTATCATCTGAGAAACTAGCCTCCACATTATCAGGCGCTCTTTCAGGCACAGTGTGTTGTGCAGGCAGCAGTGAAGAAAAGCTGCATACACGAAAAAGCAAGTAATCTAGGTATACTATATATTTATTATTTTATTTATCAGATTTTCATACACGTATACACAAAGGACACTGAGGAAAGAGTATTTCTAAAGTTTTCCTAAAGACAGTTTCACAAATACAGATGTGATCAAATTATGTCATGCATTTGTAAACAACAATCATTCATAACAATAAATGGGGAACCTTAAGGGTTTTTTTTTCAAATTAATCAATCATAATTATAAGGCACCTATGGTAGAGTGTATACATTCTTGAAGGCCGAAACCCATATGCACGAGAATCCACACAACCAAAAGAAAAAAAAAATGGGCATCGCGCGACAAGTCACGTGGTGGATCACACGTTTTTGCAAATATAGAAACTGTCGTTCGTCGCTTTTAACAAAACGCGTGACAAAGACGCCCTGCCGGCACTTCGCAGCAAAAAATAAACAACGAGATGTTAATGCACGTTGGGGGAAAAAAATGATGCAACGCTTCCAGAAATAGTCTCACTTTCCTGAACGGAAGATATATTTCTCTACATTGTATACTACTGGCCTCCCGTCACTTTCGCTACAAAGTAGCCACTCTCATGCCAGCAACACTAGAAATCGTCGCTGAAACAGTCTCGAAAATGGGGTTTGGTTTGGTAATGCATAGGCGTTCGTACAGGGGTTTCACTTCATGAGAAAGGGGGGGGGGGGGGGGGGGGTTCCTTCACAGGACACCCTACCCCATTATGTCCACACATGGGGCTGACTTCGCAACCTCGCCCCCCCCCCCCCCAACCTGAGTCGTAGCGCCCCGTCCCTATTATGTCAATGTGTGAGGCCGACTTCGCGCCTCCCTCCCCTCTCAGGTTACCAGTAGTGGGGGGTGACCGCCCCTGTCTGCCCCCATCGTTCGCATGCCTATGATCGCATGATTTTCAAGCACATGGGGTTTGCGCTTTATTTGGGCGACTGGCCGTAATTTAATGCATACGCTCACATGTATGCAGGTGTACAGAAACACACGCACGTACTACATGAGCTGCAGCTCCCCCCGAAAAGCAAGGGGGCCCCTTAAATGTGACGAGTCAGTATGGTTTACAATTCGCATCGGCGTATCCTCTATATTTTCGTGTTGCATGAACCAAAATTTAAACACCGACTGTCGTATTTGTGTAGCTGACGTTGCCTCAGTCCCAAGGTCTTAGAGAAAAGGCGGTAATAAAGACAAACTGCATACAAGAAAAAGCAAGTAGGCTCGATATGATTTACAGAACCAAAGAACAAATCAAGAAATCATAAAATCATTCGTCATCATCATTTATTTGACCCTTAAGCGCCCCTTATAGGCATCACATAAGGGGGGGGGGGGCATTTTTCTAAATACAAAATCAAGGAAAAAAATAGAAAGTTGTACAAACACACGAGCAATACTTTTGCAGGATCCGTGATCAGACGCACAGAAAATGTACTTGTACAAGTATAAAAACATGCGCGCACAAAATTTACACATACAAGAGCGCAAAATATAGTGCCAGTGGTAAAGTTTTAATGGGTTTCCAAGTTTAAGTGAGCTGTTAGTAGTTGTTTGAATGCGCACGAGTCACGCTCTGAGACGATGGCTTCCGGTAAGTTATTCCATTCCTCGATGGCGACAGGAAGAAATCACTTATTGAATGCAATGGTCGTACCGAAAAGACGTTGGAGGCTTCTGGAATTAAATAGCCGGCGAGAATAGCGGGTGGGAGAAAGCAAGAGAGAACCATGCAAGTGAGGAAAATAATAGTTTAATTTGTGAAATAAACAAAGTCGAGAAAGTATACGTCTGTCAGCTAGATTCTGCAAGTCTAAAGACTCCTTTATAAATGTGATGCTTGATGAGTGATCGTAATTGGACATAATGAACCGGGCAGCCCTATTCTGTACGGACTCCAACAGATTAATCAGATAGGTTTGGTGAGGGCTCCAAATGGACGACGCATATTATATATCTTGTATGAGGGAAAGTTAAGCTATACGTCAACAAAAAATTGGACCATCTATTGTTTTCTTTGGATGAAAGCAAGTGTTTTCAAGAACCTCTTACCTTTGATTTTCCCCAGAGGAAACTTCGTACCACGCGAAAAGCTGCGCGGAGCACCGAAAAAAAAAAAACGGTGGCACGAAGAGCTTTGTTTCATGAACGAAGTTCAGGTCCCATGGATGGCAATAATCTTACTTGTTCCCGAAAAAATATTTTCCGTTGCCACAACCTTCTCTGGCTAAGAGATTTCAGCGATGTGTGCACTCCAGCGTCCTGTCCTTACACCACGAAACGGTTTCCACCCCCTTTATCGGTGGGAGAGCGATGAGGTGTGAGAGATGAGATTCATGGATATAAAAGAAAAAAAAAATGCCAGGCATGGCCATCACAGATAAACCGCGAAGTGATGAAAGTGCTCCAGCATTTCTTTGGGGACACAAAGATTTGGGATGAGTATTGACGGAACTGTATTGAAAGTGTGTTTGCGACTGTGTGTTTGCTCTGCCCGAATGAAAATTTTTTCAACTTACCGATGTAGGACTTTATATATGAGTATATATTTTGTTTCTTAATTTTGGTACTGCAACTGCTAAGTGGAAAGGGGTAGCCGTCACCAAGCAATGATGAAAACTCCTTTATTTATTTTTATTATATTAAAAAAAAAACAAGGGATAGCAAGCGATGTCGTGAAAAAAGGCACACCTTGACTGTGCATATTTGGGGAGGGGGATTAAAGTAGTGAGGAAGGCCTTATGTATCATTGGCGAAGGGAGAGTGAAAGAAGTTGGAGTCAAACAGGGACCGCCTTCTGGAAAATGGAATTTCCGCAACGCTGACTGTTTTGCCGGTGTAGCTTCTCTACCAAATAGAAAAATCGGTGAGTGCCCAACGGCACTATAGGAATCAAACCCGCTACCCCCTGCATTGAAAGCGGATGCTCTAACCACTCGGTTACCACCAGGGTTGCTGTGGGGTGGACTCGAAAAGAAGCCAGAACTCAAGCCAAAAGTAGCCAAAGTAGCCACATCATTTATTGTCGCCGAATTAGTAGTCAAATATAACAGAAATGGTATTATTAACAGGGTCGTTACTATTGGATGAATATATAAAACCGTTTTGAATAAGTAAAACCAGACGTTCAAAAGCAGCAAGAAAATAGCAATGGCACCAACTGGAAATATTCGTCCCCACAGTACGGGGTCGAATAGTCGCCAATTTGGCACAATGTACCCACCAACGGCAATTCTGGC